AGGCAGGAGAATGGCGTGAGCCCGTGAGGCGGAGCTTGCAGTGAGCGGAGATGCACCAGTGCATTCCAACCTGGGCGACACAGCGAGACTCCATCTCAAAATAAATAAATAAAAATAAATAAAAAATAAAACCTTATTTACAAAATGGGTGGCTGACCAGATTTGGCCTTAGGGCCAAACCTTAGTTCAGACAATGAACAAAATGATACATCAAGTCATGCATGATTTATAGTGTTTGCTGACTTCCATAGTGTAAATAGTCCCACCACAGTCTATTCAAGCTACCAATGAGATGTCAATGAAGACAAGTTCAGAAGAGGTGTTTGGCAGTAACACCTCATCATGTAGTACTTTCACCATACAGGTGAAATAGACCTAAGTAACCTGAAGAGCATACATTGTAAATAATTATAAATTTATATCATTTACTTTTAATAATGTCTGTATTTAATAATTAGCTTATAAAATTCCTGAAAAGTTAATAATTGGTTGTCATGAACTGCTATGAGCCAGCTTCAGCACACCACGAAGCTAGAGAAATGAAAGAAAGTCATCAGACTGTGATGCAGGTCTGACCTTCATGAAGGAGAAAAAGAAGGAATTAGGATTGGGAAGACAGCAGGACAGCCCTAATAAGTTTTGGCCAGAGTAATGGGGAGTCAGTGAGCCAAAGCCACCTGTTAAAGAAGTTCTGCAGTTTGCTGGGACAGGCCTGCATTAATACCACGGCCATGCCCAGTCACTGTCTGAGAGCAACCTATAAGAAGTTTGGCCTTGGCATTGATCTGAGGCAAATACAAAAGGAAAGAAGCTGCAGCCACCAGTCAGCTTTGCTCCTCACATCTGAGTGGTGCATTTTCATGGCCACCACACCCAGTAAAAGTTACAGTCCCTTTTGTTAATCAATGAACCCACATGAGGTTAAGAAGTGCATCAAGTTCAATGAAACACTCAGGCAGCAGCCCTTATTAGTGAGCTAGATCCTAGGTGACAAAAGTCATGTATGTGAAGGCAGATTTAGTTACAGAGGCTTTTAGAGATATGTAACAAAAAAAGCTTGTGAACCTCAGTATTCTCCAGGTTGGAGAGGTGGATTACAAATTAAAATATAGGATAAATACTTAATAACCATGGTGCAGAAATATAATTATGAAAATTACTAATCTGTA